CTCATCCTCGCATATTTTTTATACTTGTACTGTATTACTTGTTATGGCCTTTGATCTTAAACGTTTTCACGCTACTAATTTTCCATCCTTATACACCTCCCATTTTCAAAATATCATAGAATTTTCTTAATGATTGTTTCTGTCCTTATTTAATTGCGTGAGTCTGCCACTAAAATGTTGCATGCCGTACTTGAATAGTTAATTCCTTAGTGAATTCGTTTGACCTCTCCTGGATAATGTTAGGCATGTCGTGAGTCATATATAACTAATGTAGCCGTGATCTACTCCCGGTTGACAACTAGCATTCACCACAGAATATTGGTATTAAAACTGAGTATGAAATATACAGTGCTTGGGTTGCTTCATTCTAAGGATCCATGAACACAATGAAACATTCATAATATTGTAACATGCTTAACCTTAAACGATTTGGTGACTTTCTCGTAAAGGACAGGGGGATAATTTCGTTCATTTCCTGAGACACGTTTTGAGTCAAAAACATCTATTCAAAAATCTTTCCTGAACTGAGTTGTGTTCACATGCTGCAGTCTTTACAAATGACTGAGTGGTGTAAATTTATTGCTGAAAACGTAATCGTCGCTTTGATATGTCTGCACACGTCGCCTACCACCCGAAGGCATAATTACCTCAGCGTCTGAAAGAAATTGGAGCTTGAACACTGCTCTCAGTCGAAGGTGCCATTGCGACAGATTCTGCCACAGCGACTTGTTTCACAGAGCAAAGAAAAAAAGTATTATGATGCAAGTGTGTCAGCTGTGGATGTGCGTCGAACGAAAGTGTTTGCCGTAAATAGGGCAAGTCTTATGCCCTCGCGATTCGCATATGTTACTGATCGTTCGTGAATCAAAGGGTTTATGAGTTATTGATAGTGTCCACATTATTTCTCTTGCCTTGTGGATAGATGATTGGTTGTTTTCTTCGTGATATTATGTATGACATAAGATGTCTCTGTAAGGGAAGACTAGATTCTGCAGGAGATATGGTTTACCAAGGGCAGTGTCAAAATCACTGAACAACACTACCTCTGTAAAATTACTAGTAACAGCAACATATTATTTCAACATACCTTATTAACAAAACTACATAACATCTCTCTTTATATACTACAAAATGTTTTATTCATTCTTAATAGATCAAAGAAGAAACTATAGTTTGATAAAACAAATGTGTAATAAAATTATATTTTATTTCCAAAGTCTGTAACCTAGAAATATTAATCTCTCCTTAAACGTTTCTGGAGCAGATGATGTCAAATCAATAACTTAAATAAAAGAGAAATGTTAAGAATGTGATATTTTGAGTATGAAATGATCTAAAGGATTTTAAAACTTCCACTCTTTGAACCTCAAGGGGTCCACATATACTCATCATCTCATTAAACACAACGCGAGTGGCAGTGGCAAAGTAGCCAAGTATTGGCAGCAATCTCCTGAGATCAAACGCTGTCTCCCAACGGTGCTAACGAATAATGACGGAGAGCCGTAACAGTATCATCCAGTAGTTCCGGAGCTTTTATCAAATGCCTTCATACAAAAGCTTAAAAATAATATTTCCTCATTTGAGTGGATGAGTAGACAATCGTATCGCATCCATGTTTCAATTTATTGTTTACTATTATTAAAATGTAAACGGATCGAATGTAGAAACTTTTTTGTAATGAGATAGGTCCCAGAAATATGTTTCTCCCAGCCCAACTAACTAGAGAAGAGTAGCGTTTCGAATTGAGATGTTATTTTGACATGGAAACTTGTTCATTGACTCATCCCCTGCATAAGTATAATTATCGAACAATTTCACTTTAATACGGACGCCTAATGCTACCAACTATTTTCGACTCCCTTATTTGGCAACCGAGCAACACAACGGACTCTGCCATTTTGTTTCTAACGGCTTTCCCTCGCTGAGCGAATACGAGATCTGATTAGGACGAAAATTTGGACATTTAGGGCCTACTTCGCCGGACGTTTCCCTTACTGTGTGACGTGACACCCTAAGAATTTTCTGCCCTTGGAACTCGCGGACTTGAGATTCGGAAGCCAGTCCGTTACCTCTCCCCCTACTGGGCAGCCATTTACCCGTTGAGAGTGGGTGCGATTTGTCGGGCGGCCGGTGACCTTGGGGTGGGCGTGCGTAGGCGCGTGGAGCCACCCCCGCCAGGGCTGCTGAAGGCCGTGCGGAGCGGCTGGCTCTTTCGTCAATAGCGGCCCTCGCTGGCAACGCTGGGCGGGCGAGGCGGGCACGTGCGCAGCCTGATGCAAGTGCGGAGGCGCGCGGAGGTCGCAGCCGCCAGCTTTCACTCCAATTAGGCGTCGCCCGCGGCCCCCGCCAGTGGCCCCGCCACAGGCGCCGCCGCCGCCGCCGCCGCCGCCACGAAGCACATCATCATCCCCACTCGCCAAAGCCCGCCCTGTCGCCCCGGGCCAACACCACCGCCACCACCGTCACCGTCATCACCAACACTGCCATCTCCCAATACCACCCCATTACCTGCCCACTACCAATACCACCCCATCAACATTTCGCTACCAATCACTACCACCAACACCTCCCGCCGCCAACATCGACGCAGGTGCGAATCCACGAAGGGTCTGGAAGAAAGGGGGATTCTGTTATGTCTTCTCCCATTTTGAAATAATTTTCCAGTTTAAGTTTCTTTTTTTAATGTCATAATATTTTTATAATGGGAACATTTTTTTGGATGTGATGCGATCAGTACAAGATAATCACATTGAACAAATTTAGTAAATATCTAAAATAATGTTGGATTCGGCGGGAGGCAGGAAAGCTATCCGCCGCTGCACCGTCATCACGGCTGCCACTTCGGCAGAGCCCCTGCTGCGCCCCTCGCTCTTCTTCTTAAGCCCCCCAAGTGTCACTGCGATACGATCATGGTCCTTTTACTAGTATATAAATGGAATAAAGTAACTGTACTGAAAGAAAATCTGACTTCACCAGTTGTAAGGCGCACAATTCTACACAATAATTGTATTACCAATTGATCTCGCTATTTCTCTACAGAACTTATTTTCAAATGATGTTAAACTGAGCACTATAACAATGCTAACACTTTATTTATAACATGCCAATAAATAATCCAGATTGCACCTGAGGTTGATGAATAAAGCTGCGGTATCAAAGCTCGAACACTGTTCAAAAGTAAGCTAAGAACCTTTCTTCTAAGCATTTCTGGGGAAGTAGAAGATCGAGATAGAGGTCCTACTCGCAATAGCAATTATGTCTTCTTAAGAGCAGACAATGTATTTGCAAAATATTTCGAGCCATTAAAAAATGATTCGTATATATGAGCTAAGTTTTTATTCCTGGATGATAACGTAAGAGTCTATTTGGCTGAAATTTATTTTCGTGGGCTCGTAGGAATTGATAATGATTACACAGGTCTACAGAATGAAACTTGATGTAACGACTACAGGTTTGAAATGTGATTTAATACTAAAATAAGTTATACAATATTAAATCAAAAGTACCTGGTACATGCGAATTAAACAAATTCAACCAATGTTATATGTGAGAGGGAATACCCACTCATTTATGTGAATTCTATTCATAGGGCAGTGATGTGATGGTAGAGGAAATGGGGGAGTGAGCTTGGGGTTACGTGTGTACGATGTTATCGTATGATGGTTACGGAGGTTCTCCTAACCTACCTGCCTACTAGCCTTACCGCCTTTCATTTCTTTGATACATCTCTTGACTTTCTCTTCGGTTACTGTAATATCTCTGGCCGGATATATTTTTTCTTTCTGTAGTTCCAAGAAAATCTAATCGCCCTTCATTTTAGCGTTGCTCCTTTGTTCTTGTGTCTTGGTGGAAGTGCACATCTTGTTCCACCCTCACGTCACCGAGGTTATCAGCGGAGAAATATGGATGGGAGTGGAGAAAGCGTAATTTATGTGAATTCTCAGCCCAGTTTTTGAAATGTATCTCAAATGTGCCAAATGTACCACAATGTACCACTTCAGTCTCTTGATTCCATTGACAAAATCTGATGATTCGTTTTTCACTAGGAAATGTTCACACGCCATCTGAAAACTAGTCCAGGCATCTTGTTGTTCTGTAGTCATCGTTTGTTTGAATGCATCATCTAATAAAATCTATCGAATTTAGGAAGATACCTTCCTTCATTTTTGCTGTGGTTATGTTTTGACATTTTGCACGGAGATACTGAAAATTCTTCTCATTTTTCCATAGCCATCGTCCTCATCAATCAATTAACCCAAGCTTAAATAAAGAAGAGGGAGAAATATGTTGGGATTAATAAGAAGAACATTGAGAACACTGTGTTTTCAAGTTCACAAGAAACTCTTCGATTTCTGTCTCTTCTTTAACTGTTTTGAAATACTAGATAAAAAAAGCTCATTTCATCACCAGCAATAGCATTGCCTGAAAGAACTATTTGCCGTTGGAGATTCGCACAGTCACCACATGAAAACCGTCCTATCTCACAACCTATTCGTGTTAGAGAAACTATAAGCAAATATTTGCAATCAGGGCACATAACTTTTTTCTGACTATTTTTCATTGTTGAGTGAATAAGCCCTTATTTTGTGGGATAATTCCTATATTCCAAATATTAAAATCATCTTATTATAAAAACGCGCAAGAGAAATTGTAAATACATATTTGAAACCAGGGCGTGAATCACGCATAGTTTTATTTCTGATGATATTTCATTGTTGACCATATTAATAAACAAAATCACCTTCACAACCCACAACTTCTACCAAAAACTACATATGCCAGCTGTATCACTGTACAAACTAGCCAATAACCCTATCTATTCAAGAAAAAAAATCCATTTCTAAAACTTCTTGCAAACCAAGATATTTCAACTCCCGGCCATTCCCCAGTGTGTCCTCTCCAATGTTTCAATTATCTTGGGTAGTTGTGTAAAACGATACGATGTTGAACGAGGTATGTCGTGGGTAATAAACACGTTTTTTCTCTCTTTTTGTCGGCAGGTACGGCCTGAGCTACGAGGACATCGAGAAGGGCCTGCCGCTCATCGACACGTCCAAGACGCTCATCCGCGAGGTGTGCCCGCCCTTCCTGGCCAACGTGGAGTGCCGGCCGGGCAAGTACCGGCGCTACGACGGCCTGTGCACCAACCTGCAGCACCCGACGTGGGGCGCCACCATGACGCCCTTCACCCGCCTCGTGGGCCCCCTGTACGCCGACGGCATGACGGCGCCGCGCATCTCCGTCACGGGCAACCAGCTGCCGCTGCCGCGCATCGTCTCCCGCACCGTCCACCCCGACGAGGGCTTCCACGACCACGCCGGCACCGTCATGGTGGTCGCGTGGGGGCAGTTCATGGACCACGACTACACGCTCACCGCCACGCCCCTCGGTACGTCTCCCTTCTCCTTCTCATTCTTCTTCTCTTTCCTCTTCTTCTGCTCATACTGCTTCTAACGTTTTGTAAATTATTCTTATGACTCCTCGCTTAACTCGTCTGCTAAATATTTTTCTCATATCTCTTTTTCTCGCAACTCTTCTTTTTCACCTTATTATTCTTTTCTTCCTCCTTCTTGACTTACCCCGTCATCTTTCACTTCTTCTTCTCCTAAGCGTTTTCCTAATTATTCTTGTCATAACTCTCCTCTTATCTTTTCTTCTAAGTCTTGTCCTAACTCGTCTCCGAAATCTTCTCTTACCTCTTTTCTCGTAACTCTTTCTCTTCTAAGAGTTCTTCTTTTCCTTCTCCTCCTTATTCTACTACCTTCTCGTAACTCGTCTCTTACATCTTCTCTTACCATTTCTTCTTATCCTAAGTTTCCTCCTAATTATTCTTCTCCTAACCTTTCTTCTCTTATCTTTTCTTCTAACTCTTCTTTTAACTCGCCTCCAAAAGCTTCTTCTCTTAGCTCTTTTCTCGTAACTCTTTTTCTTCTCCTCCAAAGCGTTCTTCTAATTCTTCTTATCCTTTACCTGCTAATTATTCTTCTTCCGCCTTTTCTTCTAACTCTTCTTTTAATTATCTTTCTAACTTTCCTCATGTCTCTTCTATCTCTTCTTATTATAATACTCCTTTCTTATTATTTGTCGTTTAACTCAATTTTCCTAACTTGTGTCATTTTTTCTCATCCTTCTTTTTTTACTCGTCTAATTTTTTAATAATTGCATGTCGCTAACGGGATGATGGGGACCAAGTATAGAGAAATAATACTTATCTTTCCTCAATAAAGAAAGTATTTTGGAAAGATAGTGGTTTAGCTTTACGTACCATTTCGCCATGACAGAGTGGAAATATCTGTGCCTTGCGATTACATCTTATACATATTAAACTTTGCACTAATATGGCATCGGATATCAATAATTTTATGCCATGTTCATTTTAAGAATATATTGACATTCTTTCTAATATAAATTTGTTAATAATAATATTGATAGTGCCCTATTTCTGTTGTTATATACTTAATTCGAAGGACACAATGCATCTTTTCTAAAAAAAAAAAATAACAAATTTCAATGCACGAAAGAACTGTTTGTTCCGTGGTAATCTGTGAGAGGTGTGGTGTGTGCGTGTGAGCAGACCCGCTGAACCGCAACGAGCCCGAGGAGTGCTGCGACCGGCCGCCGCACCTGCGCAACCCCTACTGCCTGGAGATCGAGATCCCGGCCGACGACTACTTCTACTCGCTGTTCGGCCTCCGCTGCCAGGACTTCGTGCGCGGCTTCCCCGCCGTGCGACCCGGCTGCCGCCTCGGTGCGTGCGCCCCCGCCCCTCGCCTCCTCTCTCCCTCTTTTCACTCACTCAACAAATTGAAACAAATCGACGAAAGTAATAAAATAATGCTTCCAATACGAAAGATCAGATACTAATTATACACAGAAATGGTTTAGTTTTATATTTCTTTTTCAGTATCGTCTGAGCATACAAATGCAAAAATTAGGTATTTAAAGCACTTTTGACCCTACAGTCCAATTTTTTCAGGTACAATAAGTTGATAAAATATTTTTTGTACATTAACTCTTTATGCCAAACATTTTGCTAGCTGTTCTCCCTCGTAGTAGCAATATATTATCTGGAAATAACACTAGCAGTTTTCATAATAAATTTGATAATATTAATTGTTATATAGTCTAAATAAGTATATTTAGAGAAACGTACATCATAAAATACGATAAATTAGGAGTAGTCAGTTTGTAAACGGATAGTAGGACAGAGAGTGTTCTAAGAGGAAGGGAACATTAAAATGAGAATAAACACAAAAATGTAAACTTTCTTTCTTTTTCGAGTTCTCTTCGAGAGATATTATAAAGAAAGTATTATCTTTGAAGACTAAACTATGGCTTTGGGGAGTCAAGCCCTAAATGAATGTTCATAGACTCGGAACTATTCAAGTTACTTTCACGTTAGTTGTATGAAGTACTATTCAAGTTAGTTTCATGAAATATAGGTACTTTACGGACTTGAACATTTTTTTAAGCTCCATTATTGGCTCTGAAGTATTCACTGAGTTGTCAAATGAGCGTTCCTTCCTGATTACCTCAGGATAATTTGTCTGATCTCTATTATTTGATTAAATATTCAATGTTCTACAAAGTATGGAGTTTCATTGCAAGGAAAAAAGAGTGAGATTCTCTTTAGGAACAAAATATTTTAAGTACAAACTAACAGCTCTTTTGACTTCGTCACTTTATATTCACAGGCTCCCGAGGACAGTACAATACTCTGACTGGAGTCCTCGATGGAAACACCGTGTACGGAGTCTCTGAGAAGTTCGCTAGGTGAGTAGCCACAGCGCAGATGCTAAGTTGCGATCTCCTTTATGCGTTTCATTGCTTGCGATAGAGCCCCTTTTGTAAGTCATATTGGTGATACAAGTAGATGCTCTCCATTACTAACTTTGCAGTTCAGCCAGCAATGACGAAAAATGTCATAGAATTTCTTTCCATGTAGTGAATTTCAAAACATGGAAGTGTTTTAAAAAAATTACATTGGAATGAATGAATCTATCGAATCTATTGGTTCTGATCACTATCGGTTATTTGCATCGTTCTGTGGCTGAGCGAATATGGGATACATTAAAACGGGACGTATGGAAGAATTAAATTGTGTCAGACTGTTAGGTAATATTCTACATGTAATATTTTACATATCACAAACGTTGCCTGTTGAATTGACGATGTTCCGTCCTTCAAAAATCCCCAGCAGCTAACATACTTGAACTCAGAATGTCTTTTTTAATATTCACATTATTTTGGGTCAAGAAATGAAAGATGTAGACTTCAGATATTTGAAAATATGACAGGATTCATAATTTATAAATATTTAAATTTACTAACAGAAATTAAATCACGAAGAATGAAATAATCTTCCCCACAAACTTCTATAAAGCAATTTAAAATCTTCCTAAACTTGTTTCTTATGTACCCCTAATCTGTAATGTCAAGCAGTGAGTAGCTCTTCACACACGAGCCACACTAATAAATGATATCGTAGGCTTTTGCGGTCAGAGCCTTCATCTGAGTTGTCCAGGTGATGCCACCTCGAAGGCTGAGGTGACGACGTTTCATCCAACATATCGCGGTCTTCTTCGGCACTACAACTCTGAAAAAGACCACGATATGATGGTTGAAACGTCGACACCCGAACCGCCCAGTCACCCTCATAAATCCCGCCCTGTCACAGACACCTGCGCACGGGCTATGGCGGTCTGCTGCGCATGAACCCGGTGTTCGACCAGTACGGGCTGAAGGACCTGCTGCCGCTCAAGCTGGACATCCCCGACGAGGGCTGCACGCGCCCCAACCGCTCCATGTACTGCTTCGAGGGCGGCGAGATCCGCGTCAACGAGCAGCTCGTGCTCACGTGCATGCACACGCTGATGGCGCGCGAGCACAACCGCGCGGCCACGGGGCTGGCGCAGGTCAACCCGCACTGGGACGACGAGACGCTCTACCAGGTGCGGACGCCCCGACCCACTGCCCTCTTCATGCCTAATCTCCTCCTCTTCTTCTTCTTCATACACTTACATGCAACACACCACTTGTGGACGGACTAGTTACGAACTTAGAGCTTGCCCCGGCTGGGGCTCTATCCCGCTGGCGGAGATACCTGGAAGGGGTCAAACCCTTGCAAGAATACGTTTAGGTCGGCGCCGGATCTCACCATCCAGTGTGAGAGGGACACCGCCATCTCATTGGATAAAGCATTCACTACACTAACGGATCTAATGGCCGTAGTAGGTGACGTGCCTCAGAAACATCAATGAATCAATTAATCTATATCTGGAACGTTATGCTTGAAATTAATTTGTTGTCCTGTTCGGAAGGTTTTCCGACGAGTTAAAAACACTCTATGACCCTACCCAAGCAAGTAACCGCACCAGATTCTTTAAGAAAAATTTACGCCCGTCTTGAGCCACCAACCATTCCCACCATTCTCTACATGCTCATAATACTAAAAATGTCAGATAACTCGATCATCATTTACATACTGTCTGATTGTTGAGGACGCCAAGACGATAGATCCCAAAGGACACTCTCTTACTATACAAATAGCAGTATGTACTGTTATTGTTTCTGTTGGATAGTTCTTGAGAGAGCTGAATTCTCTGCGCCAGAAAAATATTTAATAAAAAATAATGGTTTCAACACTTCGCTTTCTTTTCGTTTTAATTTAAAGTTAAAACATTCAGCAAATTTGGAACTTGTACAATAGAAAATCTGTGAGAAAGAATTGTTGCCATTTATGTCGACAGAAGGCCTTCGTTAGGGTTTCTCTAAACACAATATTGTATTACAATATTTATTTAATTATTTAATGCCAAAGAGTGCGTGAAACTTCCAACAAACAATATCTTCTAAAACTTCTAAACCGCTATTTAAAAAAATTGTTTTCATCAAAGTCTTCATCAACTAGTATTTTTACTAAGTTCCCAACAATACTTCTCTCTATAGCTGGTCAGTTATCACATATTAGCACTTCCACAATAAAAAATAAGCTCAAAGTCGTTCACATTTTGTGGATTCGATCAACAATTCCCATTGTCAGGATAGTGAATGTCTCTCTTATCATGCCTCTCTCCACTGAAATTTAGTTGGGGATAACTTTATTCATTTAAACTGTAAGTATAACTAGGAGTATATGTACAAACACTCATACAAATACACACACAAATATGTAGGTACTAAAAAACATCTAAGTACTTACAGAATATCGAACTCACAACTTATCGAACTGCTATCATTTCCCATTCTTTTTCTTTTTGCTATATTTTAAGATCGCATAAACATCTTGGTTATTTGCGACCACTATTTGATTTTACGTTATGGTTACTGTAAAGATGACATGATATGTAGGGGATGGGGAGTGAAAGGACATACACAAATACAACCATGTCCGACTACGGAACTACTCTCTTGACCATCTCGATCATCAACACAGACCATTTCCCATTCTTGTTGTAGGGGATATTTATTCAATTATTTTTTATTGAATTAATTCTTTTCTTGATTTTCAATGTTCAATTCAATGACATTATGCATCAAGAAACATAACAATGAACAATGTTTCCTTAAATGTATAATACCATGTAAGGTATTTTCTTAAACTTTAATCGGAATAAATGTTAGAAAATTCTAGGACATTTATGGGCAAAAAAATCACCTTTACTCAATGAACATGTAGTAGAAAATTGCATGTAATGAAGATACATTCATTTATACACATGGCGCTTGTCCCTGGTTGTTAGGCAACCACGAATGTATGGGTGTTTATCAGATACGTAAAATTCCATTGACTGCTTCAGAACGTATCCTGCTGAACATCTGTACGTAAGAAGTTGCCTAAAAACAGGTGAAATGTCACGAGTGTTATGCACTATATCGAATTTTACACTACAGTTCATTGGCAAAAGTTTTTTCACTCTGTAAATGCCCTAGAAGTTTGTAACATTTATCCTGAGACACCTGTATTCTCCGATGTTGTGCATACATAAGACGAGCTTCCGCGAGTAACTCAAAGCTCTATGACGAGGGATGTGTCTGAGTTGCATCTGTCCGCGGTGTGAGCGATCGCAAGCGAGTGACGTTGTGTGACGTTGGTTGCAGGAAGCGCGGCGTATAGTGATCGCGGAGATCCAGCACATCACCTACAACGAGTTCCTGCCCATCATCCTGGGCAAGGAGGTGATGGAGAAGTTCGGGCTGCTCACGCAGAAGGAGGGCTACTGGGACGGCTACGACCCCAACGTCAACCCCAACGTGATCGACGCGTTCGCCGCCGCCGCCTTCCGCTTCGGCCACTCGCTGCTGCCCACGGCCATCGAGCGCTGGAGCAAGGCGCACAAGTTCATCGGTGAGCCCCCACCCCACCCCCCACCCCCGCCTCTACTAATCTCCAGTAGCGAGGGTGTCACTGTTATACCCAATTTCCCGCGTTCAAACCTCATCGAAGCTTTGCGTTTTTGAGGCCGAAGAAATATCCTTCCGTCGCGTCGGAGGGCAATTAAAGCCAGCTTCCCCTTGTAGTAGATGTACAAAAGAAAGCTCCTCAAGCCTAAAAGAAGCCTCTGAGTGAAATTCAAAACTCCCGCTCCTTTCTCTGCTAGACGGTGAAAGGAGTATAGCGGAACTTGCGTAGTCAGGCGAAAGGGCAGGTCTGAGCGTCGCCGCGGGAAATAAAGCACAAATGAATTGAATATTTTTTACTCAGTTCTAACGTACTCGGGAATCGAAAGAAAAATATACAGCCTCCGAACATTGCAGAGGAGTCTATAGTTTCGCTTTACTCGGAAAAAATACAAAAACTACTAACCAATTTCAATTTTAACCAAAAAATGCAAATTTTTCATTGTGTTATTCCTCATACTCTCGTACTGCTCGTACCGAATCAATTTTCACATTCATTACGTCATTATGGCTGCTGAAATGGCAATATATTTGACAGATATTGGCAACTATTGGTAGCTACTTTCTTTTGAGATATGTGAGCGGTTTTTTTACACTCATCGATGCTAAGCCAAACGTAACACGCAGAATGATTCGCAATCATTTCACACACTTTAGCTGATTTGTACTTGACCTGTTTTGCTCCCTATTATTCCTTTCATTCCGCCAACTGGAGAATGTTCGCATGGTATCAATTTATTTATAGCTATAGTCCAAGAAAAGTACACTTTAAAATTTCTATTTTAAGAAAGTTTATTCACGTGCATAATTCTGTGATTCAAGTTCAATCTATGGCGAGTTTAATTAAGTGTGAAAGGAGAAGGGGGAGAATTTCGAAGAGGGCTTTTTCAAATTTGTTATTTATGCCCTTTCCATTTACATTTGGTCACTTCATTTACACGTTACATGTTCTCATCTACTTTTGAACATGATTTCTATCACATTTTCCCGTGTCGACAATGGAAAGACCCGTGAAAAGTATCTTAAAACTCCAAATGCACGCACTGAATGCACACTTTGAAGCGGTAACGTCTTGCGTTCCGATCCATATGGCGGCGAAAGAGTTCATTTCTCTGAGCGGAGCGATTTTCGTCGACGCTCGTTTTAGGACCTGCCAAAAATCGTTCACTGGCTTGGACGGACCACACGCCCTTAATCCCTGGACACATGAATACAGTTTCCAGAACTGTTTAGATTACCTTTATCTTCTTCATCCAAAACATGGATCAGGAGTTTAAACTTACAAAGAACATTTTCGAAATAAATATTCTGAATTTTTTTAACAGAAGTTCACGGCCTCAAAAACATCCTGTAATGAAACATGTAATGAAAGTGTATGTATGTGCTGTGCTCATCAGGGTTAGGCTCCTGATTATCGAGTAAAGGAGGGCAATTGGTGCATACGTACACGACACAGTATTTAACTTTCTGTCGTCGTCCTCTAGAAACTAATCCATAATTCACTTAACGGACAAAGGCTTCTTCCTCATTAAGAGTCAAACACTCAAATTGAAATGTCCAAAATGTCTTCTAGCTCATGAACGTTTGAATATCTCATTCTACGCATTAGATAAATTATAATTTTGTTAGATACTTATTTTACATCAGATTAAAATCATAAGTAAGTTGCGATGAAATGGACATTATTTCTGTAAAACTCGTGTACTTAGGAGAATACTCTTTTATAAATTATAAAACTCTGTTATCATTCTTTATCTAAACTTAACCCTCATGAGCGTGCTAGAAAATGTCTTCACCGTGACGTCTCTAGAGGGATCGTAAAGGAAATTTCAAATAGAAGTAGAAGGTAGTATCATCTCTTAATAACGCAGAATACTATCTGGGTATTCCAGAATCGATTTGCACAACCAGCAACCTTGTCTCCGAACTATTTCCTCCTAAAAATTGGAATATTTCACTGTCTAAGATGGCTTGAATGAACGCGATGAATTTCTCGTTGCAGCGTCGAAGCGTCTGTCTGACCTCATCCGCCAACCTTACGACCTGTACCGCGCGGGCGTGCTGGACGAGTACTTCATGGGGCTCATGAACCAGGTGGCACAGGCCATGGACGACTCCGTCACCCAGGAGGTGAGTCCCTCCCCTCCCCCTGGCTTGCAGCGGACGCTGTCCACTGAAGACGTTCGATGGGCGCGAATCATAAGAAATTATATCTGTGGCTTCCTGCAAAACGTCAATGTCAAAATTCAACGTTTTACAGAATGAGTGATTTTTGTACACCATCGAAATGATAGAGCAATCGTAAACCAATGTAAAGATCAATGCAATCACAAATATAATATTTGAATTTGATCTTTGTTGTATTGAAATATCATTTAAATCATACATTTGCCACACAAACTGAAAATCGCGAAAAACTGACTTTGGCCCTTCTTGTACCAAGCCTCAGATACATATTTACTTCTTCTTCTCGCGACTTAAAACTTGTTAACCATTATTGTAAGTCCATAGTAAGTCATTATTTATTACACATGTCTGTGTTACTATACAATTCAACATTTCATATTATTTTGGGTTTGATTTGCTTTATATATCTGTTTTCACTTATTCTAGTATGTGTTATTGCCGGTAATATGTTATCCATAGGGTGTCTATCTGTTTCTTCTTTATTATTTGGGTCAAGTTGTGGTAGGTTCTCTGATATCTGTACTTCTGTGCTTACTGTTTCTTGTCACTCTTAAAGTAGAGTAGTTACTTATTAGAGTAGTCATTAGCGTAGCCAGAAGCGGAGATCTTCTCCGCTCTTAAGAAATACCCATAGTGGAGAGTCTTATTTAATGTGATTATATGGGTTATATAATATATAATTTCAACTTAAAATACTGCAGTACCAATATTTTATTTCAGCTTTCTTAATAAGAGCAACAAGACTTTATATTTATATCAAAAGACGTTGCCATTGTTGAAAGTTGCGATATTTTGTATTTACTCTTTTTTCTGCTAGTACAGTTTTAAATGCATATAATTATATTTTAAATTATTTCGTTTTTGGTTGAATAAAATTGATCAGATTTCGTCAGATATTGAATGGAGGTTCCTGACAAGGTCCGTCATTCTTGCCCCTCATTAACCCAGGCCACTTGGTGCCATGTCTCCCCGTTCTTTCCAGCTCCGGTCTACTTTTAACTACAGTTGTCATTGTCGAGGTCTATGTAAGAGCTATATAATTCTCCAGGAAACGACATAACTTACCTAGTACCATTTTATTCGTGTGTATTTCCTAATTTTGTTAGTGAATTTTCTCTCAATATTGTTCCGCGTACTTCTAAACTTTGAAATGTTGGGCACCAGTTCCAATATCGAACTCAGTTGTATAAATGTCTAGTGACAAAGTACACCCTCGCACGGCCTGCGTTGTTACAAAACTGCAGATTGCTTTGTTTTTTGCTGTCAAAGAAGTATAGAGAGAAACGTATGTGTTTAAGACTACAATGCAGCTGTCATTTTGACAGCGAGTTGGGTATAGGTGTGCGCAATGGGCATTTTAACTTTAGAATGCGTGGACCCAGGAAACTATGTGAATGTGTATCCTAGGTCGCTGAAGCTCAGCGCAATAATCCCTCAAAAAATGCGTTTAAAATTGTTTTTTATTCTAAATAAGTTCATTTCGTAATAAATTAAATAAAAGTCAACTCTTAATGTTGAGCAAATTATTATTTATTTAAATAACTATTAATGGGACCATAAAAACTTTGCACATGTATTGACGAAATAGTAGAGTCTAATTTCTGTATAATTTCAGAGCATTTTCCTACGTCTCAGATTAAAATTAAAGTAAGATTACAAGGAGGGCAAGCTCTCGGAAATTCAGAAGTGCAGAGTAAAAACCGAATTAATAAACTTTAGAGTCTCGGAGGCCCTTCATATGCATCCTAGGGGCAAAAGCAGATTTAAACTTCCTTCTTCTTCTTCTTGATTGGATTTGTTAAGGGTTTTAAACTGCTTCTTATCACTTCTTTCGTTGCCCCTTTCTTTCCAGAACATTTTCATTGCCCTGCTGCCCCTTCTTCATAATAACATTGAAATCTTCGGAAAATTAAAACATCTGAACTGTACGATGGTCATAAAGCGATAATTTAAAAACCAAACGCATCAGCCTGCACCTGCTGGCTGGGAAGGAAACGAGCGCTTGTCTGTGGGTGCGCAGGTGACGAACCACCTCTTCAAGAAGCCCGGCGCGCGCTTCGGCATGGACCTGGCCGCCTTCAACATGCAGCGCGGCCGCGAGTTCGGCCTCCCGGGCTACATGGAGTTCCGCAAGTTCTGCGGGCTGCCCGGCGCCTCCACCTTCGACGAGCTCTTCGGCTCCATGAGCAACGAGACCATTCGCCGATACGCCTCCATCTACGAGTGAGTGACATCTGCGCGCTCGCCTTGCCCCCACCTTGGCCGATCTGGCGCGCCTCTTTTGTCAAGACGCGGTCCAAGCCGACGCGACTCGACCCTTTCTTACTTCTGTTACCGATCATACCCGATACGACCCGACTCAACCCGATTGATTCATTGATTACTGATTCATGGCGTGTCAACTGCTAAGGTCATTAGTCCCTTACGTGTAGTGCATGTTTTATTGCGGAAAGCGTCTGTTACATGCAGCCAAGTTGAAATAATTTGAATCTAATGCTGGGTTAATCTCATTTTCAAAAATATTGAGGGTAGAAAATTTCAATATAAAATGTTTTGTTACTAGATCAAAAGCCTATTCATAGCCGACTCTTAAGGTATAAGGAAAGCCTTAAGCAATTAGTAATCGCTTATAATAGAGTTATTTGAAGGCGTCAGGATTCAATCGACTTTTCTCACATACGCGGAATGAGTTCTCAGTTTGTTTTGGGGAAAAGAGCGTCCACGTTGACTTTCAAAATCGTTTGTAAATGACCTCTTTCAATGCTTATGATACACCACTTCGTAACATGAATGATATGTTTTCTACATAATTTAAAATGTGCTACGAGTTCGTTGTCGTCGTTCTCCAAAGAGAAAGTAAGCGCCGCATCACAGTCGGAAACAGACGGAAACCGGAAAGCGGGCGTCGTCCCTTACTCAAACGACAGATCGCTCATTGACAATGAGATTCCCCCTCCCCCGGAGCTGATGGCACGTGTTTGGCATAATGTAGATTTTACACATTTCTATAGAAACAAAAGTCACTAAGTAGTTCAATTGAATATTTTATGCTCTTCTCTGTGAAATATGTTTTTAAAAAATTACCGCTTTTTGCTGTAGAATTCCAAAGCTTTCTCTCTACTTTCCGTATATTTCTCGGAATATTCGTACATATGCGAAAAAGTAAATATAAACTTTGCATAAATGTACAATTCTTTATAAGAGAGCCTTAAGTCGGTTGGACATCATTCCCAAGCCCCCCCCCCCCATATACTCCCTCCCTTCCACGCCCGTACAAAGAAAAATAATGGTTGCACCACTGCATAAAGAATACTCATTTTAAGTTTCCACTGTGTATTCGACCTTAAACACTCCTGATCACTTTTGCAATTAATTTTGCCTCAGGGCATCGTACAACTGTACAGCTCTTTGTAATAGCCGCGTGTGGTCCATGTGTGATTCCTCACTACTCTCCCGGCATATACTCGTACGAGATGCTTTGCCTCATGTTACATTTCATGATAACTCCCTTGTTCCCCTTTTGAGGAGGGAACTTACGAAGGCAGTTGGAAGAGTACCTTCAAAACTCGAAAAAAATAATGGATTTAATCGTCCACGAACTAGAGTGAAGGATGTCGTTTCTTAATTAGTTGAATTTCCAATAAGAAAATTACATATTTACACGCAAAAGAGAATTCAGCTTGTTATATTATTATTGGACAAAGTAATGATACAACATACTCTATCAAATGTGAAAATATGCATTCAAACATCCACTAACAAATAACTGAATATACACAAAACCTAGTAAATATAAACAAAACATGCTTAACCAACTTTTTCTTTACTATGTTTTTTGTTGATTTAAATGTCTTTTGTAGCACTGTGCAGTAATTTTTTTTAATTGTCCTCTGGTAAATTCGTAATTTTTTCAGAAAATATGTTTTTGAATGCACAAAATAATCTTGATATGCCATAAGACCTAATTGGATCATTCTTCAAAGAAAACCTGAGAGAATATGAATCTAAATTCTGTATGAAAATGAATCAACACTTATCTTGTTTCTATGATTAAAACATTAGTGTGGGCAAACCATACAACCTACTTTACAGAAAACATTTTAAAATATCAGCTCAATTTCTTGTTATGAAATCCTTGAGAAATAACTATTCGTACAAAAAATTACAATTATGTTTCTATAGAATGAGTAACAATAATTATAGTTTCACAAAGAGCAAATTCAAAATTTCTCAAATGATAATAACAGCTACGGTGAGAGGTATCGGTGAGTATTCGCCTCTGAAATATAGTGAACCTTTTTGTGTGAGACACACGTCATCAGCTCTGAATACACTATTGTAGAGAATAAATAAATAAATTTCCTTTCCTCAAATGTATCTACCACAATTACCTATTTCTGTCAATTTTTTTCATTGACAATGCGCTGATTAAGTTCGTGTGTGAATTTATCTTTTGCTCTCCATCACTCTTTCTTCCACCCTTTCATCCCTTTCGTTACTTTTCTCTTTCATTTTCTCTTGTTTACTCTTTCTCTTTATTCTTTCCCCCTTTCTCTCTCCAATTCTCTATATTTTCCCCACTGTCTCGCCTTTTCCCTCTCCTCTCATTTGCTCATTATCTATTTGTCTAGCTATCTAGTTAGCTCTCACTCTTTCCCTCCCCCCCCCCGCCTCGCTTCGCCGTGTGCCGCGTGGGCGGGGTGAGCAAGCGTCGTGTGTGCGCAGGCACCCGTCGGACGTGGACCTGTGGTCGGGCGGCGTGTCGGAGCGGCCCCTGCCTGGCAGCATGGTGGGCCCCACCTTCGCCTGCATCATCGCCACGCAGTACAGCTACTCGCGCCGCGGCGACCGCTTCTGGTACGAGCTGGGCAACCAGCCCTCGTCCTTCACGCCAGGTGAGCGCACCAGCCACGATCCTCGTCTCTGCTAAGCGCTCCTCGGGAGGCCAGCCCGTGATCCAGTTGATTGTACTAGACGCTTCACGTGCACTTGCCACAGTCATCCTCAGCGTTGAGGGCGATGGTTCAAAGCGCCTCCTGGCCAGCTCGCCGCTCGCAGACAACCGCGGGTGCAGATGAAACTTTTTGTACTACCATAACTCCAATATGTCACGTCCTGACAGCTCGGGAAGCAATTTTAACATTGATTCGATCTGTTGAACTTGTATTGTTTTATAATCTTCGTCAAATTTAATTCATCTGTATCAATTCTTCATACCATTCACACACAGTTTTCTGTAACTTCAGTTCGAGTAACTCAAGTTTTTGTATTTCTCCCCTTCAAATTCTAGAAATAGATATTTCATTGTTTTTCTCTCCAAATTTCTACTTTAAAAATGGAATGTTCTGTTCTTTTATAAGGAAAAAATATGTAATATCAATACGCACGACAACAATTTGAAGAATATTTGAGGTTAAAGATAATATCACAGTAGTCACAGTTTGTAATCAAATCATGCTCCAGCATAAGTTAGATATTCATTGAAATGATTTTTTTTATTATAAAACTGGAGGTTACGTTTGGAAATATTTAATACAATAGTTTTATTTGTTTTTGAAAAATTGACTTGTCATTTTCGTAACATTAACAACTTGTTGAGATATAAATATTTTATTTCATCAAAAATTCTCAAAAAATGCCCATAAATAAATTTCATAACAATTTAAACCGTTTGAAATCAAAAATTACTTTTTCACCAAGAAAAAATTGTGTTGAAATTTTCATTTTTAGGGACAAATTTTATGAAATAGACTGTCTTGTATTAACGAGCTTTCTCGTCGCATTGCAGAGCAACTGCAGGAAGTACGCAAGGCAAAGCTGTCCCGCGTCATCTGCGACAACACTGACCTCATCGACACCATCCAGGTGTACCCAATGGTGCTGCCCGACCACGAGATGTGAGTACTCACCTGATTATTTTTTTTATTTTGAGTCATGTAAAGCATCGTAAGAAAGAAAAAAATCTCTATGAACGTTATTAATAGCCATAATTTTGAGAAGAAGAATAGGCTTTTCTCAAATATTCAAATTATGCAATTAATAAGCATTTACATAAATCTCAACTAAGGTGAAAATAATTATTAATTATCATTGAAAGTTTTTGAATGTTAATTATTTAAATGACTTGAAAAATATATTATATCACAGATAATTAGTGAACATTTTCAAGATAAACGTATTCTTCGGAACAAGAATTTATTACTTTTTGAACCATAATATAACAAAGGATTTTGACATTAAACATTTTCAACCTTCCTCTGTTGTATTACTTTATTTTTTCTGCATTGCATTATTAATAATTATATTACGGGACTTGCTTTTCCGTGTGGATTTTTTTTCTTTTCCACTATTTCTTAAAAAACGTGAATGCAAGCGCATCCTCCTGCACCTCCTAGGCTCCGAGTGTGGAGGAGAATGCCGTAAGTGTGTGGCTTGGTGTGAGCTTGTCCTTTGTGTGTGCAGCAACCCGCGCGTGCCCTGCCGCAGCGGCATCATCCCGGGCATCGACTTCACCAAGTGGGCGGACTACGGCGGCGGTGTGCCGCAGGGGCCCGCGCCGCAGCCCTTCGCCAACAACTTCGCGTCCGTCTTCGACGCCCTGGGCAAGCGGAAGCGGAAGTAGAGCTGCACCCCAACCTCCTCCTCCTTCCACCTCCCGTCCTTCCCCGTCGGGTGGTCCGATCGCGGGGCAGCGGGCGCCGGCCTTGCCCTACCCCTTTTGTAATGCTGTAAATAGCAAAGGCCGCCGCCCGCCCCCGCGCCCGCCCAACCCACGCCCCCGTCCACGCTCCCGCCCTCGGCTCCGTCCTATTTATTGCACGCTCGGCGCCCTCCTCCGCGCCGGGCTGAGCCCTGCCACGCCCCCGCGCCTCGCAAGGGCGCGACGTCGCAGTTTCTAAGGGCCAGCTCAACCACAGCGTCCAATGCCCGCCGCGCCCTTGCGAACCGCCCTTCTCCACCCCTCCAGCTCCGCGTCCCTCCACTCCGCCCCCAACCCCGCGTCGGCGCTGCGGGCCGCGCGCGGAGGCCGCCACCGCCGCTGCGTCCTGTGGGTTTTGTGCATCACTTCACTAACGGCTGTGGTTTCGTACGTCATTATCTTCCGGCCCTAACCTACTCACACATTAACGGGTACACACGCATTACGCTCACAACTTGCGTTTACTGCACCCTGTGTTTCACGAGACAACTTTCACCTTCACGGGATTAACGAAACTCTATTCCAGTCAGGTTTACGCACACAGGTGTAAAGGATACACTCCCCCACGAGCCTCAAGAAAATCAGCAGCAATCAAAGGTTTTGTTTGTGCCTGTTTCACCTGTAGTGTTGTGGCCGAAGACGCTCGTTTTCCCCCGTACGGGTGGAACGGTCACGTATCCCGAACATGTGTGGTCTTTAACTTTTTTTCGCACGCGACTTGATACCTCGTGATTGGGTCGACCGCGCGGCACCCTGCGGCCGCCGTCTTCCGGAGCAGCCTGGAGCGGCGCTGGCGGACCCCGCCCGCTCGTCCCGCCCCGCCCCGCCCCGCCCCAAAAGCCCCTTAATTTTAATTGATACCCTACGTATAGTGTTTTCTACTTTTTTACTGAGGATCGCAAGATGGGCGCGCCTTCTCCACGGAGGAGGCGGCGCCGCTCCCGCGCCCCACCCCCGCCGCCGCTGCCTCCCCCGCCCCCTCGCCGACTCTCGCTCAACCACATAGCCTCCCGGTGAAGGCGATACCACTATGTACACTATGTGTCTCTTTCTCACTGTACAACGAAGAAGAATGAATGGATGCAAAAATGTCCGTGTTGAGAATATTTAAAAGTTAAAAAAGGAAGTTAGGTTAATAATGAATTATTTCCAATTATTTCTAATACTTGAGTGTGAAGAAATTATTTGATGTTTTCTATTATTTCAAGGTAAACGTAGAATTTAATTTTAAATCTTTTATAAAACAATATTAACTTCAAACACGATGGTCTATTGAATAAACTAATATTTTTGGCATTTTTATCTGAAGCTACGTATGTCTTTTAGATGTATGTTCTTCAGATTTAGAAAAACATTTAAGGCAATCATTTGCGGGAATGTGCGTTTCGCGTTGCCATGCAGAAGGTGCGCCGCGCAATTGAGTCGGTGAGGGTGCCTTTGAGGGGCGCCACTCCCCTCCCCCCTCTCCTTCCCTCGCCCGCGCAGCGACGGCGGAGCACGCGGCGCGCTCTTGTAAACTTGTACTTAGCAAGGTATTAAAGTTATTTGTACAAAGACAATTCTGTGTAAAATGCTGCGTATTTTGATACATATGTGTACATATATAAATATTCATTTCAGACAAGTAAATGTCTTCTATGGTCATTTTGGTAAGAAATGTGTTTCTCATTTATCTTTCACCATTTCCTTTCCAACTTCCTTTAACAAAAGTTTATTCAAACGAGACTTAGCAAAAGAAAAGGTTTCGAGAGCATTTGGTACTACGAAAGAACAATCAAGTGGCGCACTTTCGTCGCTTCCTGTACTATTGCTTAGAAGGAAGGATGTCATATTTTATGTTAGTTAATTTATACTGTGGTAAAAGTCATTTACCATACAGGTGAAATCGAACATATTTTTCCCTTCGCAGAACGCGTCATATGTCAGTAGAATTCTCTTGTCGGAGATCCATAATACGGATACTCTAAACCTGTTTCATTTTCCTGTATAATTGCAAATCATTTTCGTCGTCGTCATGGTTTGGGCCCATTGACCCGTTCCATTTTCAAGAGTTCTTCAATCGCCTTATTGCCTGTCCCTGCTCCTTTCGTCATTCGGTTTGTAGTTGTGGAGGATTTTTAGCATTTGCTATTAAATGATCATACCAATTGTTTCTTAGTATGTCTATTTTTCTTTCTATCCCTACTTCCTAAGGAGAGAAAGTATTGTAAACGTGCGCCGGAAAACAGCGATTTTTCGACAAGAAAACTCTCATTATCTACTATTCAATATTTTAAATTAAACTTTGTTCTCGAATAGCGTAAACAACGCTTAAAAGTATCACGTTGATTTCACATTCGTTAAAATCCCTGATTTTTCAAAAATTGCAAAAGTTCAAAATTGTTTTCAGCATCTTCGTCAAATATAGATGAAAGGAATTTTTCCCTAAATGAAACATGCATGACATATTCGTGACAGGATCTGCAGAGGACGTGATAATCAAGTTACGTAGAAGGGATGTACACTTGAGATACACGAATGTTTAATATGTTAGTTAAATTGTAAATATTTTTATTTTTAGTTTATTCAATATTTAAATACGATTAGTTGAATATTGTAGATAACATGAAAGTTAGAATATTAATAGCAAATATTATGATCACGCGACTTGTTATTTAATTAACATGTAGTAGAGCTCAAAGTCATCACTATCGGAAGTTAATGGTAAGAGCTACGCAGCTCGGGACTACCGTCATTGCTGCGGCAATGAAGAACCCATTTTTCTAAGAGAAGACTTAATACATACTTTCTGAAAATGTAGCAAATGATATGTTTGATTCAACAATATTGGAGTAAATATATGCATTAATGGACAACCATAAATTTTAAAATAAAAGAGCTCTAAAAGTTAAAGTAAAATGTTTTACAGTTGTCATAAAAAATATAAAAAATGTCAAAGGAGATATCATTCGTGGGTTTAAATTACCAACAATAAGAACTAATGAGAAACATTGGTTTTTGGAAGGATAACATGTGCTTGTAACCTGTCAAATTAATTTTCCTTATTACAATAACTGTTAATAATATTATTAAATAACAGAGTTTATCAATGAACTCAATCCCACATTTCAATTCCAGAAATTAATTTCCAGAACAAATTTACTCCATGTGGAACAATTCGCCAATCTACGCAATAAATGTATCAGAAACAGTCGAGCAAAACAATCACTGTAGAACACTGTAGAACAATCACTGTTTTACAATTATTAAGATAACGTTTTGCACTTGCTATAACTGTAATGAAATTATTTTACCCCTTATCCCTGAATGTACAGACGTTAGAAACATAATTTAACAAAGGAAATAGGGAAAGGTTTTAATAGCGTGCCATTAACATAAGCAAATGTATGAGTGAGTGTTTGTAAAATACATCATTTTTGTGTGAATAGACATAAATCGAAGACTTTTCCTCAGAAAACTGGTATTATCTGGCTTTGGTAACGAAATTGTGGATAAATCATGTGTAGTTTGAATCCACGTTCATTAGTACCGAAAATTTGGTGAACGATAAAACATGTCTGTCGGTCTGTCCGTCTTTGCGCATCGCTGGCGCCTAAACCACGCAAACGATTTGGTAAACGTAAATTGAGTTTATTTCTACGCGTAATATTTATATTTTCCGACAGATGTGAATGATTTTGTGGTCCTGAGACTTTGAAATTGATGTTTTGCATTTTGAAGGTAATTTACATGAAGCCTTAACAAAATTTTCTCAATGACTACAACCATTTGGATTAACCTTTCGGGGTCCTCACAGAGAGTCCAAAGGTCGCATAAATCAGTGTCACAGTATCCCTAAAAAGCAAAATATCCGTTTCAAACTCGTGAAGTCTCATGTTCGTTCAGATCGATCGGAAAACGTCAAATGCGAGAAAATCTTAACGCTAGAGTTGACTACAGACGGTCTAGCGGGCACTCGGACGATTTTTCATGAATCGATTTTTCGATAACTATGACCCCGAAAACGTAGATTCTGACTATACAAAGTTTTAGAGGAAAGAATTCACTTCATATAGATATAAGATTTAACAATATTTTTTAGTAGGATATGTATGTTCTTAAATACCAATAAAATCGCCAAGTACCCAACAGTTACCATAAAACTATAAATGGCATTGAAGTGAGTGTTAGACCCTCACTATGCAAACATGTAAGAGTTATAATATCCTATTTGTCCAGCTCACGGCCATCTCCTCCACCCCACGGCCGGGTACTTAAGCCCCTCGGCTCGCCCGACCCCGCGTAGTCGTTTTGTGGCTTCCATCTAGCAGGTAAGGAACGGCTCAACTTACATTTCTATGTTTTTCTGTATAAAAATATTTTTTACGTGTCATATTTCAATTTTCATTCGCTTTTCTTTAGTATTAATGGCTTAACCCCCCCACACTTTTTCTTTCTCCCGTTGTCAAATACATTTTCCAAAAAATTTGTAAATTATTTGTAACCTTTATCATAATCGTGTTGTTAATTCACGTTTTAATGTTTTGTTTTTTTGTTTTTCTTCTTGTATCAGACAACTGATGATGATGGCTATGCCATCGAAAGCTGCTATTGCATTAAAAAATATTGTTGGCAATGACAACATCTTTAATTATTTTAAAAATGCCAAAGATATCTTACCACAACACCTATATAAAAACTGCTGCTACTCGAGAGAGCGGCAACTCGCGTCAAAATGTTACAGCAAATAACAAGAGAAACATAACCTCGATCGCCGAACAACAACATGGCTCAAATGTGAAATCTTATGCTGGAGCTGCGACAATGGACACCTTCCCGCAATTACTATAGAAGCCCACGAACGAATTACGATAAAGGATTATGAGGGTAAATATCTCATTTTATCAATCCAAGTAACATTCGATTTGTGTCGCGCATAGCAAATAGTAGGATATGTATGTTCTTAAATACCAATAAAATCGCCAAGTACCTAACAGTTACCATAAAACTATAAATGGCATTGAAGTGAGTGTTAGACCCTCACTATGCAAACATGTAAGAGTTATAATATCCTATTTGTCCACCTATCTCACATTACGTGATCAAAAATGCTCTTCAACAATTGAATATTCAAACTTCTTCTAACATTACCTGTATCAGAGTTGGTCTACCCAAACAAGGTGTGTCCCATATTATGAGCTTCTGGAGGCAAGTCTTTTTCCGCCCAGATGAAATACATGAATTACCTCAGTCACTTTTAATCTCATATCAAGACACATCATATAGACCATTTTTCACAGTTAATAATATTACCTGATTCAAATATAAAAATAAATGTCGTGTTTCCAAAAACTTTCCAATTATTAACACTACCCTCATACCAGTTATAAATAGAGCAACAGATAACAATAATAATATATTAGTAGAGATTTATCCTCGAGAACAACCATGTGACAATGCAACTGATTAAGTCGCTATGGATTATTCAAACTTCCCTCCCATCAACAAAAGAAATCTCTCATCTGAATCATCCTCCACTCTTAAGAATATATCAAACAATGATGTAAAATTTAGAGACCAAAACTATAAACTCTCAAAGAAAAAGAAAGCAAAAATTCAAATGAACGTATTTCCGAAAATAGTTTAACGAGAGTCTAAACTCCAGTATTAGTATCAACTTTTTTTATATCAACTACCCAAGTATTTTATGCGAAAATGGCTCCTTTCGCAGTAGCTTTATAATACTTTTTCTATACTACGTACGTGATACACGAGAGAATACATGACATACATTTGTGAATCGTCCCCCCTCCCCAAAGA